CTAAATAAGAGGGACCTCTAGATTTTCATCCTCAGGACTCTTCTCCAGCCTTTCCATCCTTCAGGTCTTCAAAAACCATCATCTCAGAGTAGTCTTCCCAGACCATGCTTTCTAAGCTGCTCCCCAACCCCATTACTCTGTCTCATTTCCCTGATTATTCCCTTCATAGCACTCCTCACTCTCTGAAATTGTTGGTTAACTTGTTTATTCTCTGTCTCTTCCACCAGAATGCAAACTCCATGAGGGCAGGAACTGCATCTGTCTTGTTCAAACAGTGCCTGCTGGATACCAAATAGGTATTCAGTAGTACTGTCTGGACCAATGAGTGAAAGATCTGGCCGTCTCTATTTTTCTTCACTTTTCGTCTTATACGTCTTCCCTCTCTGCTCCCATATTCATCCTGCCTAACCATTAGCAGTGTCCTTCCTTTGAATACTAAGACTTTACACCTCAGGGCCTTTGCAAAAGCAGTTTTTTCATAATGGAGTGCCCTTGCCTTCCTACCAGACTCCCTCTTTATTTTGAAGACTATCTACCCCCTCCCAGGCATTCTGACACCCCTTCCTTTGGACCTCACTGTTTTTGGTACATACTTCTATCCTTTTTTTAAAAAAATTATTTTATTGAGGTCTTATTGGCTTATAACTGTGTAAATTTCAGGTGTACATTATTATATTTCAGTTTCTGTATAGACTGCATTGTGTTCACCATCAGTAGTCTAGTTTTTATCATCACCATACATATGTGCCCCTTTACCCCTTTTTCCCTTCCCCCACCCCTTCCCCTCTGGTAATCACTAATCTGCTCCCCTTATCCATGTATTTGTTTATCTTCCACATATGCGTGAAATCATACCATGTTTGTCTTTCTCTATCTGACTTACTTCATTTAGCATAATAACCTCAAGGTCCATCCATGTTGTTGCAAATGGCACAATTTTGTCTTTTTTATGATTGAGTGGTATTCCATGGTGTGTGTGTGTGTGTGTGTGTGTGTGTGTGTGTATACTACATCTTCTTTATCCATTCACCTGTTGATGGGCACTTGGGTTGCTTCCGTATCTTAGCTATTGTGAATAATGCTGCGATGAACATAGGGATGCATAAATCTCTTTGAATTGTTGACTTCATGTTCTTTGGACAAATGCCCAGTAATGGGAGAGCTGGATCATATGGTATTTCTCATAGTTCTACCCTTGACTTTGTCACTCCTTTAAATTGCTAATACGCCTGTCATTCCAACTAGACTGTACTTCTTGAGGGCAAGGACTGCCTCTTATCTGTCTTTATACCTCCAAGCCCAGGAATTCAAAGTGTGTTGAATGAATGACTTGGATACATTTGGTATATGTGAACTCCTGTGGGTAGAAGAGCACACTCAGATTTTACAACCATTAACCCTGGAAGGCACATCCATGGACGTGTTTCTTATACAAACTGAAGAGGAGCTTTGGCAATTAATGGACTCGTTGATAGGTATTGGTTTATTAAGAGACTTGTCAGGCTTTACACATATGTATTTAAAAGACATCCATTTGAGGACCTGAGTTTTCTTGAATGCTTGACTGCATTAACCAAATAAACCCATGGTTATCAAAACTCCTCTTTTCCCGGAACTCTATACAAATCGACCTAGACGCTCATTCAAACCCCAGGAAATTTTGTTCTCATCTGCACTAAAGCTGCTTCCTCAAACCACACTTGGGCTCTGAGACCTTTGGATCAATAGGTGGAAGATGCTCATGTGTTTCAGATGTTTTTACCCTCACTGGCTCACTTCCTGGCTCAGACCGAAAAAATATCTTTGGACTGAAGACAGTGCAAGAGCTGGCTATGGACATTGATCTTGCCCAATTTAGACCACATGCATTTTTATAGTCATTCCCATCAGCGTGAGAGTAATTAAGACTCTAGACTGATGAGGGTACCATCCTTTCCACAAAATTGCTGAGCTGAGCAGAGCTTTCTTCCATGTTCTTCAGTTACCTCAAAGGTCTAGGGGCACGGGGTTAGGGGTGGATCCCTTTCTTAATGAAGAGGAGCCAAATTATCTCTGACAGAGGACAGTTTCCCACCACAAGATTTAATACTCCATTCATGTGTTCTAATGAATAAAACTGACACATATTTTCAATGTAATATGAGGGTTAGGAATCTTCTGCTTTTAACTGTTCCACATGTAGACACATTTGCAAAAGATCCTTCAAAGGACGTCATATTACTTTTAACCACAAAGCCACTACAAATGGCCTTGTGTTACCCGCCTCCCCCACCCTTTGTTTCAGACTTCGGAGTTCATACATAAAGCTTGAACAAAGTGCACTTAATTTGTGAAATCAAGAATTCTCTTTTGCGCTACCTTTAGTCATAAACTTTTTATTAAAGTGGATGCTGCTCATTCTACTATCAAAACAGCAAAACTTCAGAAGAGATTTTAGAGCTACAACCTATTAGAAGCAATGAAAATGAGCAGCACAGGTCCTCTTAGAGAAACCTTAGTTGAAGAGAGGGGGAGAAAAGGCCTGAACTACACTCCCTCTCGCTCCATTCTCCCATCAGGAGCTCACCTCTTCCTCCTCCCATGGGGCAGAGAGAGGCCCACAGCCTTATTCTGATGGAGTTTCTTTCACATGGAAACATAAAGAGATTCACCACTCCCAAAGGTGCTTTTAGTCAAATAACTTTGGGAAACTCTGATAAGCAAAGTCCTCTGATTTCCTTACTGCAGACATGGGAGCCTCTAATATGCGCATGTGTGTTGTGATTCTCAAGGGAGAACGTGGCATGCAGTTTTCCCTAAAGCATTTGACTGTGGAACACTTTCTTCCCAGATCGTCTCTTTTCAAGATTAGTTTCCATGGAACACACTTTGGGAAATGCTGCCTGACAACTTTTACAAGAGTCTAACCACTGGATTTACACATTAATTCATACTCCATTATCCATACCTGGGAACTCTCCTCTCAAAGAACAGTCATTTCTCAAGGAGGAACCTTCATTCTGCTTAGGGAATCTGTGGTTTAATTCAGGGAAGTGTTGCCATGCTATTTGGCCAGAGTTAGCCATGTCCTCCAATATAGCTTTATCAATAGTAAAGGTGATATTTTCATTTCCATGTGTCTGAATCTTGTGTCTCTCAATTTGTTCAAAACTCAGGCAGACTGTTTTTACTGGGCTCATTAAAACTCTAACATAGACCCATTAAAATGGGGTTCTCCCAGACACATTTTGAAAACTACTGCTGGAGGTTAATGGAAAGCCAGGAACAACAGGATCAAATCAAGAGCTAATGGAGGCAGGGAGACCTGATCGAGTCCAGGAAAATGATGCTTGGGACCTGATCCAGGGCGGAGATGGTGAGGGGAGAGAGGAGGTCTCAGAGGGGCAGATAGGTGGGCAGGACTTGATGACTGATGGCTCTGGGGCAGAGGGGAGCTGAGGATGATGTCCTTGTTGCTGACTTGGGTGACAGTGTGGATGGAGCTGCATGAAGAGGAATAAAGGGAGAAGGTCAGTTGCGATCTTGGCTGAGCTGTGTGTCCTTAACTCTTAAGAGTAAAGGAGGAGAAGCGTACCATTGGCAATAAGGAAGAAGAGGGAAATTATGAGACTAGGGTGAGGCTTTTGAAAGAAAATCCTTTTCTGGGGTCGGATTGGAAAACTATAAACACAAGACACATGTCAAGAGAAGCCTTCTCTTTGGGGCTTGACCCTGGAGGCTGCTTCACTCCAGTTCCTATCCAGGCCCACAACTTGGGAGGTGACATTAGCAGTTTCTCAAGCAAGAAGAGTATTCTAATTCAGGAGGTAATTTGAAGATGGAGGCAGACATTGAAGTTGTAGGGGAGGAAGACATTTCCTTTTCCCAAATGGGGGTTCGTCTGGCTGGAGAACAAATTAAATTCACATGAGACAGAATAGCAAGAGAAAATTAAACAAAGCTTTATGAGGAACCATGGCCTGGGGCCTTTCTTCCCGAAGGAAGAAAGGGCACCGAAGAAGTGGGGTGCACATAGTGGTTATATATCCCCAAACAGGGTGTTTCACATGTGATTGAAATGTCCCTCCCACAATAGTCACAAGATTGTCCTGTCGGCACAGCGCTTGATGGACACAGCAGGTAATGGTCTGCTATCTCGGTGGGCGTAGCAGGAGGCAAGTGGATTGTCTGGAGCTGGGCGGTCACAGGTGAGTGCAGCAATCAGTTCCTAGCCTAAGGAAAGATGCTTAATCCTTAAAGAAATGCCAGCGTTGGGAGGGGGAGGGAAGTTAGTTACAGGAGGTTACCAGAGAAGCACAATGAAATGCAGATTTAAGTCCTTGCCTTTGGTATCGACTAAGATTTTCTAGAGAGAGAAGGTCATCTCCTTTCTTCTTCCTGGTACAGAGAGGGAGGCACCTTTTACAGATAGAGATTTACCTTACAAATGTAAACGTGTCCTAACAAAGGGCAGGTTCCATTCCTCAGAGCCTCCTTCCCTGTCCCAGTTTATCAAAAGCAATCAGCCTCAAATAATCCTGATGCCAAAGAGACATATCTTGGGGTGGCCAATTTCAGGTCCCCACAGAGTGATGCGGCCACAAGCCAAAGAATGCCAGGAGCCACCAGAAGCTGGAAGAAGAGAAGAAGCATTCTTCTCTAGAGGCTTCAGAGGGAGCATGGCCCTGCTGACACCTTAATTTCAGACTTCTGGCCTCCAGAACTATGAGAGAATGAATTTCTGTTGTTCTAAGTCACCCAGTTTATAGTGATTTGTTACAGCAGCCATAGAAAACTAATATATAAGGAAAGAAATGCATTCACACTAACTGTGACAACAAGAAACATGGACAGAGGGCATTTTCTAGGACACAAGGGGATATCGTGGATTCCAAGGATAGGAAGTTCAGGTTGGCCTCACAAGGCACAAGCACCAGGACCTAGAAAGTTGGGACTGGAGTGGCTATCTCCTTCATAGACACTTGACCTCTTCTCTTTTGTCATTCTCTCTCTGTCTGCAGGCTGGCTCTCTCCAGTTCTTCACTCATGTGGCCAAAACAGACGCTGTTGACCTGACCCGTCTTCACATCACATTTCGAGTCCCTAACAGACCAATAAATGGCTCTGTGGCCTGATTCCAAATTCCATGGAGAGAGAATCCCTCAGTCTTGGTCCAATCAACTCCTGTCCACGGGTGAGAACTTGTATCTGGGGCCTTCGTTTGTGGGTAAAGAGCCTGCTGGCAAATATCCTTAAAGGTTTCTCTGTGAGCACCAAATATAGTTTTAAAGAGCAGACAACCTCCACTTATCCACCAACCTGGCAGGTCAGGGGGAATCTAGCCTTCTTTTCAAATTTTCTGTCCTGCATTAGACAATGTCCTTAGCCTTTTAACCTTCTGTCTCCTTAAACGCCTCTCCCCAGCATAAACCCATCATATCGCTGAGGGGGGAAAAAGCAGACGAAAAGATTAGATTCTCTTCCTGTTCTAAACATGAAGTTAATCTACTGGAAAAAAACCATTATTGATTTTTATCTTTTATAGTCTTCTCCTGAAACAACAATTGTGTGCTACAATTGGCAAAATACTTGGCTTGTTTTGGACTCAGATCTTAATTTTTAAAGATTCCTGTTTGTTGTTTTTTTCATGTTGCCTTCAAAGGGCTACTTTCGGCCAAGTGCCATGGGAGATATTTGGAGGTTGAAGGATTTTCCTTTGCCTTTAATGCTTTGATCAGCAAAGCAAAGCCTCAAACAGAAATCCAAGCCAGGCAGGAGGGTGGCAGAGCGGGAGAACGGGTTCTGGGGAGCGTCCCATTCCTTGAACTTCCTTCAGTAATCAAGGAGACCTTGTGTGGTGCCCCCTAAGTGCTGGGCGTTGAGCTGGAGCTAGGCTTACAGAGGGCAATCAGCTGGACATCGCGTGTCCCACCTGGAGCGTACAGCCGTGGGAGAGGCAGGCAGAGATAAAGAAAATGAGGCAAGTGAAGACATGCTTGCATGCTATAACAAAGGTCACGGAGGAGAGGTGCCTGGCACAGTGACAGTGCATAACTTGCGCAATTAGCCCAAGGGATCAGAGAAGCCTTCTGAGGGAGGCACATTTCCCTGAGATCTGAAGGGTGAGTAGGTGTTTAACTAGATGAAGCTCCTGGGGGTGGGAAGGTGGGGGATATTCCAGGCAAAGGGAACATTGCATGCAGATATTTATTATGCCATCCAGGGAGAAACCCATAAAATGTAGATTAGAGACATACAGAGACCCACAGACTCATGAAGGAATGAGACAGCATGCAGTTATGGTCTGCTTTTTTGCCGTCTGCAGGTACAAGAGGCTGCAGGAGCTTTTCCACCAGGTCTCTGACCCCATGTAGATCTCCTGAGAGCACTGCAAGAGGCTCCCAGAATCCCTGGCCTTGTTGAGTGCCCTCAGGGCTCTCTCTGGGTCAGCATCCTCAAGAGCGTATCAAGGAGCTGTGGGTCCACAAGAGCCTAGGCAGACAGGAAACAGTAGATTTTGTCAGAAGGAAAGCTAATTCTGAAAAGAGGAGCTATTTTGCTCTCTTTTATCTTGTCTCTAAAGGGAGAAGATGGGGTTCTTTGGGCATGGGAATATGCCCACTTGAGCTCTTCCTATCTGAAGTCTAAATATCTTAGGTGTGCCCACCTGAGGTCTGCATAGCTGAGCTTTTCCCCCCTGAGGTGTGCTTATGTGAAGTGTGCCCACCTGAGGTGTGCCCGTCCTGCTGAGAAGGCCACCTGGAGGAGTAACTTGATCACCCCAGAGCAAGATCATCATGGGAAAAAGTAGAGGACATGAGTAGGGGGCACTTGACCTCTTCCCAGGACTCTTTCTTGGCCGTCCCTGATGGCCCACTCCTTCCTGTGTCTCCCAGGAGCCTGGGATGCACCTCTCTCTCATGGCCTGCTTTATAACGCTCTGCCTACTTGTCTGTCTCCCCAACTAGTCTCTGGGCTCCTTGAGGGATTGTGTCTTTTTCATTTTTATTCTCTGTCTAGCCCCTGACATTTACATGATAAGCATTCGATAAATATTTATTAAGGGAACGAGTACATGAACCTTATTAATTTACACTCTGCTTTAGTCTCAAACATTTTGAGGTGGAATCATGTTGCTTAGAAGTAGATAAATGGGATTAAATGAAGGGTATTCCTCACATTGCCTTGCACGTGGTGGGCACTCCATCGTGACTCACCAACAGTGGTCATAAATGTCTCCACGCTCTGCTACTTATATGTAGCACAATTTATTTCTGAATGGCATTGATTTTGTAACAGAGCAGTCCTTTGGGGGAGCCTTCATATATCCCTACGCTGATTATTTCACTGAGGCAGAGATCCTCCAAGTACCATTCTCTTTGTACATAAGATCATATACTTCTGCCCTTTGATTGAAGATAGGACATGGGTGTTTTTGTCCTATCCCTGACTCTTGTAGGTCAGGCCCACGGGTTCCCCTATTTTTGCATGTGTGTATCTGTTCAGGAAACAAAGGCTGAAAGTCCGTCAGCAAAGGCAATTGAGGTTCCTGTGTCTCATTCTTGCATAATGAGTCCTGTCAGTTAAGGCCACACAAGGGTGGGAGGAGTGGCAGCTTGCCAACCTGCTCTGTGGCATTTGGATAAACAAACACCAATATTTATCAGAGCTGCTCTGTTGTCCTTCCTCATCTGCTGGGACAGGGAGCCCTCCCTGTGCTTGTATATAGTTTTCTCTGTATGAGATAAATGTTTGGGGCCATTAACAGAAAAAAAATGTTTGTACTCTGCTCCCCTGTTACCTAGGCTAATTTACCGCACCAGGAGGACTTGTAGTTCATTAATAATATACAAATACAAACCAAAGGAAGAAATTGCCTTGTTAATTGACTTTTGCGATGCTAATCTAAGACTCATTGGCTTTAAACATTACCCAACAACTGTGCTTGTACCACACACCTTGGAGAAAACAGAAAACTGTCCAACACAAATGCTTGAAATCATTGCCTCTGGGTTTTATAAACCCACACTCACCGCCACTGGTTTTCTTTAGAAATCCAGAGGTAGAAGACACAAAGAAAAGAGACAAAGAGTTGAGGATAGACTCAACCATTCTAGAATACAGCCCAGACATGCTGCAAGTGAAGGCCAGGCTACCCTGGGCCATGCTGGGCTGTGCTGGGCTGTGTAGGGTGTTGCCAGCCTCCCCATCTCAGTCCAGATTGATTAGATACAAAGATTAATTAGAAACGGTACTATTAGGCTCAGTTGACTGGTCCAATTAGGAGCAAAATGTATCAGTCTTAGAAACCAAATTTCCTCCACTGACATCCCTAGGCCAGCCTTCTGTCCCTTGTCCTCTCTGATCATTGCCTGTGGAGGAGACATGAAACTTCTATCAGTTCATTAATAATGAACTGAGAGGTAGTAGAGTTGAGTGATGAGGTTTCCCAGGACAGCCTTGATGGTCAAATGGACCTGGATTTGAATCGTACCCATTCTCTCTTTCCCTGTGACCACCAATCACCCACCCCTACAAGTCTAGAGCCAGAGTTTCAAGTCTGTGAATGTGACGTAGGCAGTAGCAACCTCGTCATCCTCTTTGAGTCTGCCAGGGCCACCTGGGTGACGAACCTGGCTCCTCCTTGAAGAAGCCACCCACCCATGGCATGGGGAGCCGTATTTGTTTTACTGTAGATTTCACAGGGCAGGCGGAGGGGAGCCTTTTCGTTGCCACAACCTTAACCCTCCTGCTTGATTTCTCTGTTCTCCCGAGCTCCTCCTTGACCGCTCTGCCTCTGGGATTTCTTCTCTCTGACTTGCCCTTTGGAGTCTTCTAGTTCCTCTCCCTCTCGCCTTTCTTGATTTAAAGAATAAAAGACAGAAATTTGGATCCGGTGTGCAAAGCTTGAGATTCATCTTTCTATTCTGTAAAATGGAGATGAAAATAATTCCTATCTTGTAATGTGAGAGAGAGAATTAAATGAGAATTAAGTAAATGAACTCTAAAGCAATGTTTTTCCAACATGAGCCATTTGAAATCAGTTTAATCAGTTGCTACTAGCATTAAAAAAAAAAAAAAAGTAGGATAAAATAGAAAATATCAGAGGGCATCGTGTGTAGTAGGGGTAGATTTTATTTGTGACTCTTTTCTTTCAGTGTTATATATGTATGTGCATGTGTGTGTGACCACTGGTGGATATAAAATGGATTTTTTACTGTAGGTTATGGTAAAAAACGTTTGAAGTATTTGTCATTAAAATTCACCTTCAGCCTGGAGGAGGTGATCTCTGAGACTTAGTCACAAAACCCTAATGTTGAAAAGATCAGAGACCCCTGATCCAGCCTCCTGCCAGGAGGCTATGACGTCCCACCAAAGGCACATTCTAACAGCCCAAGGACTTAATTCTGTTCACAAATATTTTTGTTAGGTTCACATAGCATTTATGAAAAATTTTTGAACTAATTACTATCTTTTGAAAATCAGGAGATAAGACATCAAAATCTAGATTTTCAGCTTCTCCGGAAAATTTGGGAGAGTTGGCTATACCGGGCATCTTTCCTGCAGGGTCTACCCCACCTGCATCCTCATTTATCTCCTGCCTGGGCTCTGGGAGCACACAAGGCTTACTCCTTGACCTGAAGTCCTCCCCCTACCTAAGGCTTTATGTTTCTTTTAAAGAATCACAAAACTGGAACATACTCGAGGGTTCCTTTGGTCCAAACCTTCATTTGTGGGTGGAGGAAAGAGGCCCGGGGGAGGAGGAGGTAACTCATCCAAGGTCACATGGATCATTGGTGATGTGGATGGGAAAAGCATGCAGGTTTCCTTCTTCCTGGGTCAGTGCCCTGTTCAGCCCTCGGGAACAAGTGGCCACCATCCTCGTAAAAACTGAGACTTTCTTAAGCGATGTGTTGATTCACCTCAAAGGTCATCAGCCCTCACTTTTTCCCTCTGTCTCAGCCAAGTCAAATATTTACCTTGCAAAAGTGAAATTGGATCCAGAATGGTTCCTGCTTGTCTTAACACTGTATTTGCGTGGCTCCATCTTTGCCCTCCGTGACTTTCCTCATGGCCTTGCCGTGACTGCGGCCGCTTAAGTACAGCTTCTGCAGGCGGAAGACACCTGGGCAAAGGGATTCACCCGTGTGGGTGTTTGGAAAGGATGTGTACCCCCAACGTTGTCTGGCTATTTCTTTCACTCCATTTCAGTTGAAGGACAGAGAAAATCAGCTTGGAGTTCATTTTTTGTCAAGCAGAGTCACAGGCAATGCCAGCATTAGCAGGCTGACAGGTATATAGTTCCCTGATCACCCAAGAAAGGAGTGGCAGGGTGGTCCTGATGGGACCGTTCTCAGAGGGGGAAGCCACCCTGTGCTGGGCACAGGGCCAGGAGTGTGAAGGATATTTTGGATGTTTTTAATTTTTTTAAATTTGTTTCCCATTATAAAAATAGTCAAACATACAGAAAAGTAGAAAGAATAGCATAATGAACCTCCACACACCTATCATTCAGATTCAACATTCATCAAGAT